ATATTATCAATATTAATTTTACCTTTTTTAATGTGACTTATAGAAAACATAAGGCTACCTGTGAGGCTTGTATTCTGTATCAATTAGTGCTGACCTAGTTGGCTGGTCACACTCCCCAGCGGCTCCTGGGAAACCCTATACAGTTGCTCTGAGTTAGAACCAACTCACTGCACTTAACAGTAACAGCACATCTTCTCAGGCTTCACAACTTGGAGGCTCATGAAGGACTTAAGGAGCGATTTAGGAAAGATATATAGATGCCAGAGATAGCAATAATGGACTAAATAAAAAATTATGAGAAATGGTTAAAAGAACAAAAATCACTTAACCTGGGAAAAAACACTCCATTTCTACAGAAGCCCTGTCATCCACTCACCTCCTTACCTATCTGAAAGCATGTGATGTAGTAAAGCTGCAGAGAACATAGTGCTCTGCCGTACTCCCTGCAAGGAGTACAACCCAGCTGGGACGGGCCAGAGATCAACATTACTTAAAGAGCACGTGAGGATGAACTTACTAACATGAGGACTTGCATACAACAAACTATATTCCTATGGTTAATGTTGAAACATCTCCTGAAAACAAGTCTACCTAAATGACACCAAAGAGAGTGCTCTTACATCACCGCCAAGTTCCTTCCAACCCTCAGAAGTCTTACGGAGACTTCAGAAGCTCCACAGCTCCTGGGACCAGTTACAAAGAAGTCAAATAGCTTACCTGAGGCTTCAGATTAAATGTTGATTATAAACCTGCTACATATGCTTACTGAACAAAGACCCCCCCCCCCACCATGTATTACTGAGTACTGCCAATCGTTAAAGTGCTCTTACTTACAGAAAAAATTATAACAATAATTCTTCCTCCATGTAGTTGCTAAACCCAAGAATTCCCCATATTCTGTATAAATCCCCAGTTCCTGGAGGCCTCATCATAAATCCAACCCTTTCATGACATCCTCCCGCTAGACCACAGTGCAGATGCCCAGGTAACAAGCCTACAGCACAGATACAAAGGGAGGCTGCTCAGCCGGAACTCAGAGTCTCTGACTTCTGGAATTCAGTTAAGTACTGGTGTGGTGCTCTAGGATAAACACTGAGCTCCTAACCATAAGATTGGCGGTTCAAACTCACCAGCACTCCTCTGAAACCCTATACAAGGTCGCTATGACTCAGAACCAGTGGCATTTTAACAACAACATATTAATTTTAAGTTAAATAAATTAAGTTCTGGATCTTGCTGAAATACTTTCAACAAGATGCTAGGGAATTAATGCCTGGGTTCCAGCATACAAGTTCTGGCTCTACCCATGAGATTTATAACCTTTATAACCTCAAAAGTCCCAAAGAACTTTTGAGCTCCACAGCTCCTGGGACCAGTTACTAAATGTTTCTGAATTGAAAAGTTTCTAAGTTTGAGCTCAAAAGTACAGGAGAATGAACTGAGTAACATTCTGTGAAAAGCTCAGAATACTCTAAATCATTAAAGACTAGTGTACTCCCCTCCCTTTGGAGCACAATTCATTTCTTCAGGCATGATCAGTTCTGTTTTTGGACTAACCTGCATCTCTCCATTGAGAATCTTATAAACTTCTTTCGAATCAATGAAATTTTGGTAAGCCTTATGTTGCTCATCTGTCAGACGGCAAAATAAAACCTATGAAGGAAAGAAATGGTGAAATTATGATTATCAAAGACTTTTTAAAATTGAATAAAATAATTTAAATTGCCCAAAAATTTCTAGTAAAAAAAAGGCAGCACTCACAATTTTAACAATGTGCCTCCTACTGAAAAAACAAAGCTAAATATGATTACACATTTTATAGATGAACGGAGAGGCTTGAGGCTACTCCTCACACCAGCCGTCTCCATTTCTCCAAAAACCCTGAAGACCCTTACTCACAGCCCACTTCAGAAAAACTGACCAGGTACATGAGCCCCGAGAACCAGTGGCCATGCCTGTCAGCCTTCTCAGTCAGGCACATGAGAATCAGAACAAAGAGTGCAAACGTCTGTTCTGAGAATGTTCTGGAAACTCCCGGATTTACTGACCTGTTCATTTTTATCTGGTAAGGAAAGGCTCATCTTGACATCTGACTTCATTCTCCGCAGCAGGTATGGGTTTATGGTGTCCCGTAAGACACATGCACACTTGTATGCAGTTTTAACCTTTAACAGACAAAAGGGGGTGGGGGGGGGGGAGAGGAATTACTCTACGTTTAAGTAATGCATTTGTTCTACTGCTCTAAAAACAAGTCCCCCAAAAATGACCAACAGTTGTAGAAAGTTGGTTAAAGTGGTTAGAAAAGCAGCCTAAGTCCGATACACAGCAGTAAGTGTAGTTTTCTTGTTAATATCATGGGCAAAGAAATGTATTACATTAGCTAAAATGTACAACAAAACTAAAAACTGGGAATTTTGTGCCTATTCCGCTTCCATATTTTGCTTTAGTTATTACATAGTTAAACTCTAAAGATTTATTTGGTTTTTGACTGCTCTCTAGGGAAAAAACACTTAAAATGAATCTGTTTATAATCTTGTATTTTCCTAACACTACAAAGGGACTGCTAATCTGCAAAGACTGAAGATCAAAGCTAACTACTCTAAGGGAAAGTACAGCAATGGGAACAACTGGGTAATAAGCCACAATTACTGCCCACTGGAGACTGATGAGGGTAAATTCAATAAACTCCCTATGATCCCAGAACTGAAAGGTCACACTGGCCTAAAACGGAGCATACGGTTCCCTAATGGAGCAGGCCACATGAGATGGGTATTAACTGTACAAAGACCCACAACCAGGAAAACCACTCCCTCTGCAATCCACTTACAGGCAAACAAAGAAGCCAATAAATTATTGATACTTAAAACAAAAACAAAAAAGCCTAAAGAGGCTTCACAACTTACCAAATCACTATTTAATGAACAAGAAAAAGTCTACAGATTAAATTTAGAAAAGTCTGCTACAAGGTGAAAGATAATAAAAAGAGCTTGGCCGTAATAAATAGAAAAATTAACATGCCAAAAAATAACATTAAAAAAAAAACCACAGCAACATTTTGGAAGAATCTGTATATATGTTTGAATTTGTGGTGTGCATGTATAAATATAAAAAAAGGTTAATATACGTTGAACAAAGCAGTTCAACAAAAAACAACTTTCGGTAATATGTAAACTGTTAAACGTGTCATTCAGACATGGATAAAAATCACCTTTAAGATGATGAGGTTAAGTATGATTTATAATGCACAGAGAATAAAATTTCTGAATTTAACAACATATTATGTTGTTGTTGTTAAGTGCTGTTGAGTTGGTTCTAACTCACAGCAAGCTTGTATAGGGTTCCCAAGGAGTGGCTAGTGAGTTTGAACCACTGACCTTACAGTTCAAACCAATCTTGAGGCTGAGTGCTTATTCTACGGCACCATACCAGGACTCCAACAATAGATAATGGTCTTGCTGTTAAGTGCTGTTGAGTCGGTTCCCACTATTAGAGACTATGTTTCGGGTTTCTGAGGAGTGGCTGGTGAGCTTTGAACCACTGACCTTGCGGTCCAGTGCATTAACCCACAGAGTCACACCACTCCAACAATGTATATTATAGCCCTACCAAAGGATAAAACATTCAAGGTCGGTGTGAACCACAAGGTTGACTAGAAAAACGATGTACTCCCAACCATTCCCACCAGCCGCTTCTTGGAAATCCTATACAGGGACGCTATGAGTTGGAACTGACTTGATGACATTTAAAAATAACAACCAAAAAATACAGTTTATTATTTAAATTTTCTAAAAAATATGTGAGTGTGGATTCATCACATGACGTTTTCAGTAAAACATCTGGCCTGTGTTAGAGTTTCTTACTTCTCTCTGAGGTTCTAAGAAGGCAGGACTCTGCTGGTTGGGGGGCCCTCAGGACTTCTACTTACCCAACCCAAAGACTTGCAGCCTCAATAATGTAAGGGTTCCAACCTTTTTGTGCAAATTCTTTCTTGGGACCTCAACATTTACTTATGTAAACTAGTACACTGAGGTGATCTGATTCCAGCAGAAATTCATTCATGGTCAATGTAATGGAAAGTTCTAAACTTTGTGATTCTTTCAACATAACCTTGAGAATCACATTAGAAAGCAAAAAGCCAGAGGACTGAAACCAAAGATTTGCTCTAGCGAGGTGAAGAAGTACTCTGCATACAAAGGCAGGGGCTACACTGGACAGAGACCTCTAGTGATGTTGCTGAGACTTTCTTTCAGAAGGCCCCATCGTTTCTGGGGTCCTAAAACAGGCTAAGAGTAGTAGAAAGCCAGTTACACTTCCCTGGTGCAGAATTCCTAACTCCAAACAAAGAACAGAATACATACACCACCATCAGAGAAAAGAAGACCAGCTCATCAAACAAACATGGCTTGCAGTCCCACCTTTACAAAGAAAAAGCAGCTATGCTCCCCACAGAGGACAACGCAGAGGAGCTCTGGATTCTTCTCAGAGAACCAAACCAACATCCACCAGTGAAAAGAGAGTCACCAGAAGAGAAAGCATAAGGAAGAGGAAGAAGCACACAAAGAGGAATAAAAATATTGAGGAAGAAAAAGTACCATGGGGATAAAGATTACCACAAAGAAAACAGGAGCATCAGCAAGAGAAAGACCAAGGTGAACTCAGTCAGTGAAGAAAAGCTCCAACACAGGGAGAAGAGCAACCAAGATGGAGACACCACAAAAGAGAACAGACGGTCCCACAGAGAGAAGGCACCTGGCAAAGAGCACAGAGGAGAGGGACTGGTGTGGTGAAGCTCTCCTTGGAAGTTATTACTGATGTGTGTGGGAGGGTTGGGACCTCAACATTAAATTCTTGAATGATTTGGAAAGGATGGATTAAATGATCACTCACTTCGAAAAAAATAAAGTTAGACAACCTCCCACCCCTACCTCACCTCATACTCTATTCAAATATAAAACCCAGATGGTTTAAAAATATAAATGTACAATTAAAATTTGAACGTATTAGAAGAAAATATAGGAAAACTTTTTAATCTTGGAGTATGGGTGGCCTTAAGCCAGCAGCCATAAAAGAAGAAAAATAATAGCTGTAATTGCAGAAATACTGAAAACTTGTCAATCAGAAGATTTTGTTATAAATGTTTGTAAAACAAAGTAAAAGATAAACATTGTATATATACAAAGAATGGAGACCTGGTGTGGCACTGTGGGTTAATGCACTGGACTGCAAAGTCAGTTTGAAGTGCAATGCTGGCGGTGTGAATTGCAATGATGGTGGTTCAAGCTCCTTAGAAACCCTATGCAGGGTCACTATGGCTCGGAATCAACAATATATACAAAGAACAACCCCAGAGAAACACAGTACATTGACAACTGTGGCCTCTGAGGTTAAGAACTGAATGATATTTTCTGTGGTAGCAAGTCCTGGTGTGGCGCTGTAAGATAAGCACTGGACCACAAGGTTGGTTTGAACCACAAGGTCAGCGGTTCAAGCTTACCAGCCGCTCTCCGGAAACACTATCCAGGGTCACTATGAGTTGGAACTGACTCGACAGTACTTTACAAGCCTGCAGAGAAGCAGTGAAGAGAGGCTGGTGGCCTTGAGGGTCTAGCTTCAGCCCAGGCTCTCCGGGAAGTTTCCCCCAAATAGCCACACACCATCTCTCTGAAGAGGTCTGAGTCTCTTTAACAGATGGTGCTCGCAGAACTGGGAAGCGATATGCTAAAGACTGACACAAGACCTTTACCTCACGCCTTATACTAAAAGCCAACTCAGCATGGATTAAAGACCTAAATGTGAATCTCAAAATTATGAAGGTCATCAAAGAAAAAATAGGGACAAATGTGAGGGCTCTAGTTCAGGGCATACACAGACTACCAAACATTTTAAAAATCACACAAACAAAAGTAGACAAAATAGATGAGTGGGACATACTAAAAATTAAAAACTTATGTGCATCAAAAGACTTCACCAAAACAGTAAAAAGAGAACCCACAGATTGGGAAAAAATCTTTTGTAACAACCCCTTAGATAAGGGACTCGTTTCTAAAATATATAGGAAACTACAACACCTCTACAAGGAAAAGACAAATAACCCAATTAAAAAGTGGGCACAGGATATGAAAAGACACTTCACTAAGGAAGAGATCAGGGCAGCCAACAAACATATGAAGAAATGCTCACGATCATTAGCCATTAGAGAGATGCAAATCAAAACAACAATGAGATATCATCTTACACCAACAATAACAGCAAAGATGAAAAATGGAGAAGACAATAAATGCTGGCGGGGATGTGGAGAGACTGGGACACTCCTGCATTGCTGGTGGGACTGTAAAATGGTCCAACCTCTCTGGAAAACAATATGGCGTTTCCTCAGAAGGCTGAAAATAGAAATACCTTATGATCAAGCAATCCCTCTACTTGGTATTTACCCACAAGAAAAACGAGCCACAACACGAGAAAATATATGCACACCAATGTTTATAGCAGCACTATTTACAATAACAAAAAGATGGAGACAGCCAAAGTGCCCATCAACTGAAGAATGGATAAACAAATCGTGGTACATACACACAATGGAATATTATGCTACATTGAAAAATAACAAGGAAGCGGCAAGCCACCGCATAACATGGATGAACCTTGAGGACATTATGCTGAGTGAAATTAGTCAGTCACAAAAGGACAAATACTGCATAGGACCATTATTTTAAAAGATTAAGAAAAAGAACCCACCCTAAAAGGGGGGGGGGGGGGAGAAATTATATATTTGCTGACCACCGGTAAGTATGGGATGAGGTGAGGGGAGGGAGGGGAAGGTGGAGCACAGGGTAGCAGGGAACAGACACAGGATAGCTTGGGTGCTGGGGGTGGGGGTGGTGGGAGGAGCAATGCACAAGAAGTGGGAGGGGAATGGAAGAACAAAGCAGATGGGAGAACAGTTAGGCAGGTTTGCATGGGCTAAGTGGGTCAGAGGTAAATGATAATGTATACACAACCTTGGAACAACAGGGCTCTGGGATAACAGGGATTGAGGCTTGGTTTGAATGGGTAAGAGGGGAATAATGTTAAGATGCTTGGCTGTCTTTTGAATCTTGGTTCCCCCTTGCATACTAATATAAAATAGACACTTGAGGGGGAGAGAAAGGAATAGCCAGAAACATCA